CCCTTCCCTTCCCTTCCCTTCCCTTCCCTTCCCTTCCCTTCCCTTCCTTTCCTTTCCTTTCCTTTCCTTTCCTTTCCTTTCCTTTCCTTTCCTGCCACTCTTGATTCCTGACAACTGCCTGAACAAGCTCTTGCAGTTTTCCTAGCCAGGTTTTTCAGGGGTGGTTTTGCCCTTGCCGTCTTCCTAGGGCTGAGAGAGAGAGAGAGCGGGCCAAGGTCACCCAGCTGGCTTTGTTTGAAGCTAGAACTCACAGCCAGCTTTCTAGCCTGATGCCTCTACTCGAAAATGGCTCTTAAGGCCACATGAACAATTGGAAATACAAATTATCTCTCTAAAAGCATCGCAACAATCGGCGGTGTCATTGAAAGAAGAATAGTCTTTGTGTGTTCTGAAAATTTCCTGTGCCTTTTTGCTACTTTCCAATCGCTGCTTTCACATGTCCATTTTATTCATCAAATTTCCACGCCACCCATCTCTCCAAAGTGACTCTTTTTAGGGAATGATTTCGTTTTACTGAATCCACAGAGATCTGCTCTATTCTCTTCCCTCTTTCTCCAGTTCTCCCAGATTTTGACCTGAGCCATCCAGTTGGATGACTTTTGTCACTCAAAGGAGTGCAAAAAAAAAAGGCCAAATAAATTTCTCAAACTTTCATGGGGGATGCAGGCCATTTAAAGGGGAACCCCCCCCCCCGAATATTATACTGGTAGGTTGCACCCAATAGTAGCTCACTTGCTAACTGAGTTGTAGAAGAGCTAGGGAGGCAGAAAGGGGAAAGCAGTAACACCTACATTGTGGTGTAGTGCTGCAAATCCTCGACTCACACACATTTGCATCCGATGCTAGGACACAACTAGGAAAAGATGGCTGTTGTGTGGACTCCTGTTTTACCCATTTTTTTCATCATCGCAGTTTGTACCAGAAGGCTCCACATGTGTGGCTCTTGAAGATCTTGTCAACATTGGCTGGAAATTTGCTACTTCTTCTACACACAGCCCATCTGTCTCCAACTCTCCCCTTTTCTGTTTTCCTTCACCCAACTTTCAATTTCATTTCCATCGTGCCCCTTTTGTTAGATTTTGCTACTGCTAAAATCTAACCCAGATAGTGATTACACCCAACCCAACTTTATGGAAACACCAAAGATCTTGACCTATATGGGGAAAATAAGCTTTAAAATAAGCTTTATCTAACAGCCACCTTCTCTTTGCTTTCTCTCTGGGTCCTTCCAATTTTCTACACCCAACTAGATAGCCCACCAAGATATGGAATAGTTGAGCTCTAATGCCTTCTTCCTTTTGTGTCTGTTTCTTACATTAAGATTGATGGAACACCCCAAGGCCTTCACTTAGCCAGTGGTCAGTCTGGAAGCCCAACGAAATGATTTTATCCATGTCCAGGTTTTGCTGATGTCAGTCTTACGGTCACAGAGCTGACAGTTATGAGCTGGAACTGGGCCTGAGGTCTAGAGATAATGTAGCTGTAATAGCCAGCAATGCGCTAAATGGGTTCACAATCAAATACTCGTCATCTTGCTGAAAGCTTTGAAACTTAGCAGCCAAGTTACTTCTCAGAATGAAGCCAGGCAGGAATTTCTCAAACCGTTGGAAAATTCAATTCGAAGATTGGATTAGAGGGGTCTCATTCCCAATTGGGAATCCAATCACCAAATCAATTCAGGACACCAAAGCGGACTGGAGACATTCAGATGGATTTATCAGTGGGTGGAACCTTCTAAACATGCGTGCTATATACCTGTAGAACCTTTTTTTTATTGGCTTAAATTGATTGGATGATCTCAATCAAATCCATAGTTGGAATTAGTTTTGGGGTAACCCGTCCCTCAACGTTGACATAATTCAGGGGGGAGATGGGGGATGGACAAGATGCTCTTCATCTACAAACAGGTCTCATCTGCACTTGGTCATGGTTGTTAACACCCATTGATTTTTCCTGTCCCTTGGGTTCACCAATTCATAAAACCATCCAGGGCATCATTTATTCTCTCTAGTTTCTTCCTGACTAAGAACAGAAGAATTGTGGAAGAACAGAAGAGAAGGACCAGGAAACTCCAACAGACTTGGAGAGATGGTGGAAGGGATGGGCCTTGGTGTCTATTTAATGACCCAAAGATATTACTGTCTCCAACATGGATGAACCTATGACATTTGGGCTACAAGAAACAGGTGGTGTTTAAACATCTGGTAGAGTTGCTGCATTCTTCTGTATTGCAATCACTGCATGCCAACCAAGCTACTGTTTTGGGGATTCTGAGGTTGGGTTAGCCCATAAATTGTATGCTTTAAGAACCTACCTCTTTGCAAGCCACCCTGCTGCTTATTCTTGGGAACAGATATTACAAGGGTGTCATGATTTCTACTGTTTTCACAGTCAAAGAGAGCTTCGCTCTATGACGTTGCTAGGAAGCGAGGACCATAATAAAGTAAAAGAAAACGCTCACAGACTCTCTAGCTGAAGTAGTCTTCTGTTCAGTTTTGGAAGTTGGCCTGGTCCACGGTTCCTTGATTGTCCCGAGCTCCCCCACCAACTCTGGATCCAGGACGGGAAGTCCATTTGTGGCTGATGAAGTCAGAAACCCATCTGGCCTCTAGACAGAACAAAACAAGAAGACATTACGATGGCCAGCCTTTTAGTTGCCTAAAAGATCTCGGACCTGTTTCTAACCAAGGAAGAGTTACCAAGCTTGCTATATAAAACACACCTTCAATAGTTGGAGAAATGTTCCATGCACCCCTAAAAAAACTATTCAATCCTAGATTACATCAACAGAGGGATAGAATCAAGATCGTGTGAAGTATTAGTACCGCTTTATAAAGCCTTTAGTAAGGCCACACCTGGAGTACTGCATCCACGTTTGGTCCCCACCATATAAAAAAGACAGTGAGACTCTTTTGGGGGGTTGGAGGGAAAATCATATAAAGAATTGTTGCAGGAATTGGCTATATACCTGAAGGCCACATGAGAAACAATGGATGGAAACTAACCAAGGAGAGAAGCAACCTAGAACTAAGAAGAAATTTCCTGACAGTGAGAACAATTAACCAGTGGAACAACTTGCCTCCAGAAGTTGTGGGTTCTTCATCACTGGAGGCTTTTAAGAAGAGACTGGACAGCCACTAGTCTGAAATGGTTTTGGATCTCCTGCTTGAGCAGGGGATGGACTAGAAGACCTCCAAGGTCCCTTGCAACTCTATCGTTCTCCAAAGCACCTGGAAGCAGGACAAGGAACCATGGATGGAAACTCATCCAGGAGAGAAGCAACCTGGAATTAAGGAGAAACTTCCTAATGGTGAGAACAATCAACCAGTGGACTATCTTGCCTTCAGAAATTGTGGCTGCTCCATCCCTGGAGGCTTTTAAGAAGAGACTGGACAGCCACTTGTCTGGAATGGATCTCCTACTTGAGCAAGGTTTGGACTCAAAGACCTCTAAGGTTTCTTCCAACTCTGTTATTCTGTTAAATATTGTTGGAAAACTCCGCGTGCAACCAACTGAAGAAGGATTGTGCATTTTGGTCCGAGATTTCCCTCCCCGTTAAAGCATCACCTTCGCTCAATAAGCATGACAAAATAGACTTTGATTTCCATCAGCGGCCCTGCCGTAGAAAGCACTCGTTTGCTACCTTCGGGGAATAGAAAGACCCCTCTGGATCCTTCCTTAGGCAATCTGTTTCATGTTCCTCCCTAGCACTTATGTGCAATTAGTTTCGAGAGACAAAGGGCTCCTATCCTGAAGACAACGTCAAGCCAAGCCGTCACCAAGCTTTGATCATTGCGTCTTGCATGGATTTCCTCCTTTTACTATTAAAGTTGCTGGCTTTCTTTTTAATCGGATTCCACACATTCTATCATTCTCCTCTGAACCTCCTTGAAGGACCCCTTCTATTCTGCCTCCCTCCTTCTGCTTGGATGGGTAAAACCCTACGGGGTCTTTTAATGTCGGGTGAGAAAAAAAAATGACCTCACACCGTCCTTCGTGGGATAAACCTCAACCAAAGGCTGTTTAGCACGATTTCCAGGAGGACCACCCCTACAGCTAGTCCTCGACTTAGAGCCATTCATTGAGTGACCCTTCAGAGTTACCACGGCATTGAGTTGGGTAGGATGACTTACAGCTGCTCTTCATACTTAAATAAATAGCAGTAGCACTTAGATTTATATACTGCTTCAGAGTGCTTTCCGGCCCCCTCTAAGTGGTTTACAGAGTCAGACTCTTGCCCCCAACAATCCGGGTCCTCATTTTATTGACCTCAGAAGGATGGAAGGCTGAGTCAACTTTGAGTTGGTCATGATTGAACTCCTAGTAGTGGGCAGAATAGCCTGCAATACTGCATTTTAACCACTGCACCACAATAGCTCTTCCTTCCTTCCTTCCTTCCTTCCTTCCTTCCTTCCTTCCTTCCTTCCTTCC